GGGATATGTGGTAACCATCCTATAAGCCTGTACTATGGCTTTGAGCAGCTAAGATGCAGGAAAATGCATTCTGATAATGTATGATTAAAATAGAGATATAATTTCTTTCATGCTTCATTTCTTGCTACTGATTACCTAATACTAGATGCATTTTCACCCTGTGTGTACTTCTGTCTTGGTTGTAGCTCATATTTCCATTTTTCTCCTTTTGTTTGACACTCGCTATAGTTTCTCTACCAGCTCTGTATACTTTAGAATGTGCTTTTTTTCAGAACTTACTCTTTTTTCAGTTTAAAGTGTCTCACGATGAACTGGAATAAAATAGACAAATGCTGTGTGTCTAAGGTGGCAATGAGAACCTGCTTCGAAAGCCAGTAAGACGGGTTCATCTGATGGAAGCTCATCCGTGTGTATCTGGCCCTGACTTTTTTGTGATAATTCAGGGATGCTTTTATGGGATAAGCACACAAGGGTTGTCAAGGCTGAGATGGTGCAACCCTTGCATCATAGTGCGTTTAGGAAATGATCACACTGTTCCCAAAAGATTACATAGAGAAAGGAAAAAACAAATTCCTGAACAGGACAGTTTTGAGCCAAGGAGTAGACAATACAATTTTTCTGTTTTTCTTCTGTTCAGACAAATCGCTAGGGCTTTTTAGTGTTTCCAGTCTTACTTGCTGAAGCTGTCAGCTCTGAAATGTAAGAGGTTCAGCACAGACTCACTTGGCATGGGTTTGTGGGCTTGTCATAGTGTTTTATCCTATTTTTATAAAGGTCATATAAATTGCAAAGTCAGAGCAATAGTGTTGCTACTTATGCCAGTGACTTTTCTCTGAGCTCCTCACCCAAATCAAACTGTGCTTTTCAGAACAGTTCTGAACAGTGCGTTGGAGTCCTATATCCCCTGCAACAACATCAGCTCCTTACTTTCTCTTGTCTCACAGTGTCACCCAGGGTCTGTCTGGCCCTTTTTACCCCACACTGTCCCCAGGCCCCAGCACTGGGGTGGGCAAGAGACGGCGTACAACGCTGGGGGTTTGCAGCTGTGGGGTGCTCACCAGCTGGCCGGGGCACATGTGCTGATTTGCCTTTAGGCAAGCTGTAAAAAGCAATGCCATTAGCTGTGAGGTCCTGTGGGATGCTGCCCCGTGGCCTTCTCCTCCACCAGGCTGGCATTTATTTTGATATATGGCAAGAAAAGGTTTTTTAAAGCAGCTGAAATGACCTAGAGGTTGATTACGTGAACCTGCAATGTCCAGTGTTCTGAACACAGCACAGTCAGTTCATAATCTTACTGTATCAACAGCATCATTTAGCAACTCCAGCAGAGGAATCGCAGAGGGTCTGGAATGTTTACTACAGATGAGACAAATTTAGTGATGTTTTCATGAGCTCATTAATTTGTACTTATGATATTCTCTGATCTTCTACACACTGGAAGGGTTTTTCTTCTCTGCAGTTAGCCACTTGAAAAAAAAAACAAGAAAAAAGACCTAAATGCTTTAAATACATCAAGGCATCACCACAATTAAAATCAAGACATCACAAATTATGTTTTAGGATAACATTAGAAACTAGAAGACAAGCAGTGTGACTGAAAACACATTTATGGTGGACAATACTTTAAATGAAAAACATACGGTATTGATTTTTTAATCAGTGTTGTATGCCCGCATATGCTTGAAAAGTTGCTTTTGAACTTGTCACTGGATAATGAGGACAATGTCACGGAGGGGCTGGGTAGCAGTTGCAATTGGATTGAATTTCTTTGCTTCAGGTCAAGCTTTGTGCGTTTATTTTATGAACCCCACGGCTCTGCTCTGATCCTGAGCAGCCAGCGCTCAAAGGCTGCAGTTTGCCAGCTGCTCTAAAGCTGGGACCAGCGGGGCGGCTTTCCCCGGTGTTTACTTCGAATCCAGAGCCACCGTGGCCTCTCCAGCTGGATCCAGGCCAGGGCAGGGACAGTGGCATGGCCCACACTACATCCCCACTGTGGGCAGGGACAGTGGCATGGCCCACACCACATCCCCACTGTGGGCTCCCCGCAGGGCACCCACTCCGGCTGCTTGGCTCTTGCCTGCCGAGAAGGGCTTGCTTTCCTATTTGGCTGGATGCTTGGAGACTCCCGCAGCTGAGACACATCACTAGGTTAGCAGAACAGGCTGCTTGCAGTTTTAAAGGAAAACTCTAAAACTAACTGTAAAGCCTTGGTTAATTATTTCTCTTGCTGCTATTGTTTTTTACTGCTGCTGACTGGATTTACCTCTGCCCTCTCTCACAGGGATCCTGTTGTTCCATTTAATGCTTCTGTAAAAGAAACTTGTTTTCTAAGGAAGATGACTAAACTTTTCTGGTTTCCTTTCATGTCTATTATTTCTCTATCTTTTTGAGACATCAGCAGGCCTAAAAAAGCTGTTCTTCCAGTAGCTGGAGGCCATGCCCAGTGAAGAGAGTACAAAAGCATCCCCCAGAGCCCCCCACACGGCCCAGGCCAGGGCACTGCCTTTCCTCACAAGCCTTCGCCCTGGCGGCAGGGTGTTGGGAGGCCAAAAGTTTTGGTTTTAATTTAGATGTGGCCCTTGAAGTCAGGGTGGCTGCTCAAAGTACCACACATCCCATTCATATAGCTGAAGTCCTGCAGGGACTGACTTTGATCCAGAGGCTGTGAAGAAAGGATTTGAATTGCATCTACTCAGTATGAGTGGTTATATGTTTAATTTGTGCTGCCTGCAGCCTTCTGCTCTTTGTACAGCAGCAACGAGAGGGGAAATCATTCCTCTGAACAGTGTTACTTTGTACAAAAGGAAAATCCTGTCCAGGGCTTGGGTCCCTGTGCCGTCTCTGAAGTGAGATTTGTGGGACCACCTCTCTGGCGAGCCTCGTGTGCCCTCTAGCTGCTGCAGGCTTGTGGGAAACCGAAATGTCTTCATTTTCTGTAAGCCCCGCTGAATTTCGCTATTGGAACCAACAGGTAGGCCTTGAAAACAAATTCTTGAATAATTGTAGTTAGAGGAGCAGTAGAGACAAAGGGGCTGATTGCAGTTGCCGCTGCCTTGTTTGCTCTGTGATGATCCAATAGAAAAAAATTGTGTTTGCTGCTCAGGCCAGGAATTTGTTACTTTAAAAGGTATTTGCCTAGAGTTTACATGTTCAGCTGAAGCACAGGAGAGCAAGAAGTCAGCCTGGTTCCTATGGCATCTAGTAAGATGGAGGGTTGGAGGGTGCAAATTTGCTGTGGGGTGGGGAGCAAAGAGAGTGGATGATGAAGTCAGCCTGGTTCCTATGGCATCTAGTAAGATGGAGGGTTGGAGGGTGCAAATTTGCTGTGGGGGGGGGAGCAAAGAGAGAGGATGATTTTAAAAATTTTTTTCTTTTTTTTTTTTTGCACAGGCCTTTTGTGAGGACTGTCAGCCTTGGCACTGCCTGTGGGCCCAACAGCTTTGAACAGGCTTAGCTGTGAAGGGGTTAATGTTGAAGGGTGGCAGAGCTAGAGGGGTTGGACAGGCACAGCTCAAGCAGCCACAGCTGTGGTGATGGGCCCAGGTGGAGCAGATTTGCAGTGATTAGGCCAGGCTGCCCCTGCAGGCACCAGAAGGTAGCCATGGGGTGGAGGGGGGTCCTCTCTTTTGCTGCTTTTGGGGCCTGCTGAGTATGGTGGCATCTGCCCCCAGTTCAGCCCACGGGCTGAGCAGTTGAGGGGGGCCATGGGGAGCGGTGGTGTTGAGGAGAGGGCTGAGCTTTGCCTGCCACTGGCCAAAATGACCTTGGGGAGAGCCAGCCGTGCTGCAGGAATGGCTGTGGAGAAAGGAATTGAATGCCTGCTGGGCCAGCAAAGTCAGCCAGTGTCTTCTGGTGCACAGCAATAATTTTGTGAGGACTGCAAGGCAGAGATCTGGAGGAAGCAGAGGTGGCAGTGAGGAATTTGGGCATGTCCTGGCTGCATCTGGGTTCCCAAATGTAAAGGTAAGGCCATCTTCTCTGTGAGGTCTCTTCTCATGCTAGGTGTGCAGGAAAGCCTCAAATTGTAGAGCTAGAAAGCCTTAAACCTTAGTGTTTCCAGACCTTGTCATGGGATGCTGCAGAGAGGTAAGTGGGCTAAAAATCTGCACTATTTTTTAAGTGGCGTTCCCTCTACTAAAGAAGGGGGAATTGGCTCTGCCATTTGTGCTGAACCAGCAGTCCAGCCCCTCAGAATAATAACTTCTGCTTTTCTAGTACTCCACTGAGGGGGTCTGACTCAGCACCTGTATTTTCTTTTTTGCCTTGTGTGTTTTGTCTTTCTTTTGTTTTGTACCTACCAAATTTGTATTAAGAATCTCCACCGATTAGATTTAACTGCAAAATTACTTGCTTCATTGTGGTTTATTTTCGAGGGGAGGCTTTGTGTCTGAAAGAATTACAGTAGAAGATGTTGGGCTTAACAGCATCTACATCTTCCCCATTGCAAAGGCTGAGATGGGTCTTTGTTCATGTGTTTATAAAAATGATTCTGCAGGTGTTATATAAATGAGTATCTATAATATGTATACATTGTGGGCCATCTCAAAATATTTTACTTACTGCTGCTAGCAAGCAGAACAGACAGCAGGTAGTGTGAATATCTGCAAACCTGCATTGAAAAATCCTGCTCAAAAGTAAATATTAAGCTCAGGATCAGTGTGCTTCAGGAAGCCATTGTGCTTGTTAGTGTGCCATGGAAACATCTGATGGTAACAGGTCCGTCAGCTTGTGCTACGTGCCTCCAGAGGCAAGTGTTGGCGACAAGGAATCTGCTTCTACTAGCAGTTAATTTCTACCTTTGACAAAACCTGGAGTGAAGCTACTGATTAAGATCATGCCTAGCAATTATGCTGCGATAAGATAATTAACAGAGGAACAACTGAATGTCTGCACTGAGCTTTGGCCAGACAGCATGGATTTGTGAGGGGAGGAAAGGCGATGGTGTCTCCTGAGCAGCACAGCTGAAACACTGACACTCCCGCAGCCTAAAATGGGAGCAAGTGCCTCCCTTTCACTTTGTGTAAGTGAACTTAAATTTGGCTTCTTGGATTCTTTCTTCCAGCCTTCCTTCTGCTTCTTCCCCCAACCCAACTGCTGCATCTGAAGAGGGAAAGAGGAGGAGGTATTTAGAGTAATATATCATAGATACTTTAGAGGCTTTTTTTTTTTAACACTTCACATCCTGTATATAAAAATGCTGTAATATACACTTGGTACATGCTGATATTGTTGCTATTGGGGAATTATTAGGCAATTTAACATTAATACCACATTCTAAGCTTACTTATGTACTGAAGGAGCAAAATGGTGTCTCGGTGCTTGAGGAGGGTGTGTTTGTGTGTGCCTGCCATGGCAGGAGGGCTGGACCTGAGCCCTGGCTTGTGCCTTTACAGGAGGTGTGCATGTTATGAGCTGAAAAACAGCTTTTCCACAGCAGTTCTGCTAGAAATCTGTAGGAAAGTCTTTTCTTTTTCCTTCTGAAAACATAGTAATAAAAACAATTAAGAAGAGGCTAGTTTTGGGGTATGTCGGTATGATGCTACAAAAAATTTAAAATTCCCCTTTAAAAAGAATTGTGGGTACTATTTAAATATTCCTGATGCAGAGCTGGTAAATCTGGGTGTTCCCAGTTTGGACTTTTGCTCTCATTGCGTGGTGAAAATGGGTTCTTTCCTTCGTGACTGCGAGTTCAATCAGCCTGAGAGGAAAATGAGGAGAAAACATGGCACAGTGGGTCATGTCACCCACTTACAGGGCAAAGCAGAGGAGAGAAAGAGGATGAGGGAGCAAGGGCTCCTTGTGGCCGGGTGGCATTTCCCCCATTTTTAAATATGTCCCCCCCAAGGTGCCACTTGTGGGGCTGAGGGGCTCGGTAGGCCCCAGCCACGGAACCTTCCGGAATGGGCCCTGGCCGGGCTGGGGCAGCCCCTGCCTCTCCTCACAGAGAGCCCTCAGCCGCTGCCCTGGGCCCGGGCACCCCTGCGATATCCCACACATACTGACAGGATGAAAAAGCAGCTCCTCAGTGCAAAGTGTCCATGATTTCTTATATATGTCTTTGCGTCGGTTATTGGGGTACAAAATTTGGAATAGCTGGGCAAACAGACAGGAGCCCTTTACCAGGCTCATGCCATGGCTACTCCTTAAGTTCCTCTTCTGGCTCCTCCGTGAATCTTGCATTTTTTATCTTTGTCAATTGGGTAGAAATTGACAAATTTCATGGGGTTGGAAAGCTGTGCACCAGCATTCAGTCAGCCTTTTCCCTGACTGTTGGGACACTTCTTGAGGAAGGGGTTTAGCAATACCTCCCTGTCTTAAACAGGGCATCTGCCCTGACCTGCACCGCCATTTTCTCTGAATGTAGATGTGAATGAGTTATATTAGGATCTACCCCATTGCAGGTCCTGTCTCAAGTCTACAGAAGAAGAATGATATTAGTATTTCAAGAACATGCAGTAGAAGTAAAAGCTGTACTAAGATGCTATAACGAAGACAATAATTTACCTAAGATGTAGACCTGTGGACCTTAAAATAATAATAATAAAAAAATTCTGTTTATCACTTGCCTGTTTTTATTCCCTAGAAATCATTATCCTCTGTGCAAGTCAGGCACACAACAAATAAAGTCTCACCAGATCTACAGTGCAGCAGAGAAAGAAGCACATTTGGTGTTCCTCTGGAAGCCCTCATACAGGATGCAACGCAATGTGGAGTTCCTTTTCTTGTAACACAGATGGTGGAGTACCTGGAACTATTTGGTAAGTTCATGTTTTCTCTGTTTGGTCTCTGAAAACTGTTATTCTTTGTTTCAGCTGTACTTTTTAGCTGTAACTGCTGAAAAGTTTGTTTTTACAATTATTATTCTTTCTTAGAGGAGCTCTTGCTTTTTGAGATCCAGTTCTCATAACACAGGTATGCTAATGCAACCATTGTTTACTGTTTCATATTCCTTCTTAAACAGGTCTAGAGCATGTTGGTATATTTCGAATCAGTGGCTCAGTAAACAAAATCAAGGAACTGAAGCAGAAATACAATCAAGGAGAAAAAGTAGACCTTATTAATGATGGAGATGTTGATTCTGTGGCCAGTCTCCTGAAACTCTTCCTGAAAGAACTGCCAGTGGCTGTTTTTCCAGACAACATCTGTTCTGGCTTGCTAAAAGCTTACCAAGGTATGGAACAGGCACCTTCCAAGCTTCTGTCCTTTCTCTGACAGTGACAGACAGTGTATTAATTGCAGCTTCCTATAAATAAGGATTTAAATTTCCTTGACCTGAGACTCATGTTTAATTACTTTTACTGGACCAGTCTTTTGAATTCGTTAAGGCTTTTGGGCTCCCCAACATCCTGTGGGGATTGCATTCTTCAATCCAATCCTGTATTCTTTGAGAAAGTACATCTTTTGCATGTTTTCTTTTTAAATTGGATACCTTACTTGTTACTGAGATAACATTTTCAATCTGATCACCATCATAATGTTGCTTGTGCCTTTACATAGCCACTGCCTCACTTCTCTCTTTTTCAAGCTAAAGCTTCTTTTTCTATTTAACCGTCCCTTTGTACAGGAGCCTTTTTATACATCCCTGTTCCTAGCTAGTACTTTTACTAGTTTTCTTAGAGTCTTCTTGGACAGCAGTGTGTGGAGCTGCATGAAGCTTTCAAAATGCAAAGCCAAGTTGAGTACCTATAGCAATACACTGTCGAGTTCCCTATTTATAACAGCTGAGCTAATGCATTCAGGTGATTCTGCTCAGTGGTTTTTGAGTGATAACTAATTCAGGTGTTTGCATACAATACATGGGTGTTGTAGGTTACATTGCATGTTGATTTTGTTCAAACTTCATCTGCTGAGTGCCAAGTTAGATGCTTACCAGGTAGATGCTTACCAAAAAAAAAAGGAAAAAGAGAGAAAGGAATCCTTTTCATCAGCTATGAAAGTATAGGCTTGAAAGAGCGACAGTTTTTTGTGAGCACCTTGTTTTGACTCCCCTAAACCCTCTTACTGTTCTTTTCTTTTTTCCCCCTTTGTGTTTTTTTTTCCCGTCTCCCATCTTTTTTTTTTTTTTTCCCTTTGTGTTTTTTTCCTGTCTCCCGTTTTCCCCTATCCCATTTTCCATATCTCTCATTAATAGGTTGAGCACCATGGCTTTTGGCCTTTATGAAACCTATTTTTTTAGGGCTAAAATTGCCCTTTAGGGCATGATTTGCTATTCACAATGTCAAAGCTATACAGATGTGTCCTGGTGATCTATGGCAAATTTGTGCATCAGCTGCCAGTTATTGAGCAGTATTGTCATCTCAGTTCTAATAACTAGGAGACTTAATCATACTATTTCTGAACTGCTGATCAAATAGAGTTGTTTCTGACCAACACTCTGAAGAATGAGAACCAAGAAAATGCTAAGTATCCCCAATTTAGATTTTTAAGCATCTCTTGTGTAACTGCAGTTGCATATTTATAGAACAAAAAAGTTTTGAGACTGAGAGCTACCAATTAGTCAGGAAATGAAGATGATGTGGGGCTGAAAGGGTACAATTTCTTATTCCTCTTAACAAGAGTCACACAGCATATGTAAAATCTCTGGGGAGAGTCAAGGCTGATGATCTTGTGTCACCTATAAAGGCAGCTGTGAAGATTCAGGATCATTGCTATTGCCTGCAATTCCATTAAAAAAGCAAGTGCTAGATAATTCTGCCGTAACAGGAAGAATAGCAGAAACAGTGCATATAAAACTAAATGTCTGGAAAATCCGTGTTACTTAATATGTGAAAATTGTTGTCAAAATTTAGAGTACAAATTCTTTATTTAGGACATATTTATTCTTTACTTTGTTCCTAATATGTTTTAAAACCTTGCCTCTTCCTCAGAACTATATTAATGCCTATGATGGAATTGTGTTATTATTAGGAATATCTTTGTAATAACTTTTCTTTCCCCACCTCCCCATCCCTCCCCAGAGCACAAAGTCCACACAACAGAATGCATAGAGAACCTGAGACAGTTGCTCAGCTGCCTGCCCAAAGCCCATCAAAACCTTCTTCAGTTCCTGTCTGCATTCCTGTTAAAGGTGGCAACATACAGCGCAGTGAATTTCATGACTCTGGAAAACTTAGCCATTGTGTTTGGACCTGCTCTTTTCAAGTAAGTATTCTCTATTTAGTTACCTTAAGTAGCACTACTAGATCACACATTTCAATGAGGCTTCCTGTCATAACTGTACATCCAATAGTAAGTGCAGCACCTTGAAAGTTAAATGCTCATATAGTATATTACAGACAGATGTGACAGATTCTGAGCTGGCTGACCATCTTCATCCTGACCATCTTCATCCTGTTGTGCGCTTGACTGTTCAGGGCCAGCCTGAAGTAAGAAGCCATCTGAAAAGAAGAGGCATGAGGGATGGAGAGTTGTTTAATGAGAACTACTTCTCTTTTCTTAGCTAAGCTAAGTGCTGGCTGTGGAGGCTACTTAGTTGTTAGCCTTGAGTCTGAATAGCTAGGGCTGACTTTGGCCTTGTAATAGCATTTGATTTATCTTCTCTATCAAGAAAGAGCAGTAGCTCATTCTGCCCTTGCGACTAAAATGCAAGTTAACATTCAGAGACCAGCTGAGCTCGCAAGCAGGGAGTGCTTGGCTGAAGCTAGAGGTGAGGTATGTTTGGGATGATGGTGAGTGGGCACATAACTGGACGCTAAAAAAGAAAGGTGGAAGTGCGTATGTCATGCAAGTCAGGGTGGTGAGAAGGAACAGCTTAAAGTCACCTGATAATGGAGAATTTTCCAGTGAAGCTGGAATGATTTAGTTCTTTATCCTATCCTTTGTGTTGACACTAGGGGATGTTAAAATGCTTATACCTGTCTTATAATTTGTGAACCTTTGTTTTGGTGGATCATAGCTATTCCAGCTTAATGCCACTTTGCAAAATGTGTATGTTAACAATTAGTGTTTTCTATGCAGTAAAAAAGCCTTGATGCCTTGATGTTTTTTACTTTTTTTTTTTTTTTTGTATGGTAAGCCAAGCAAGTTAAAAGATATAGTCAGCAAAATTGGTACCAAGCATATAAGAAATCAGTGACAGGCTTTGTTTTGGGGAACTGCTCTCTTATACCTTGTTGCTGTTTCCATAGCTCTCTATGTTTGTGTCTGTTTTCCTGCTCTGTGGGTTTATCACCAGATGAACCAGTGTATAACCTTTGCAGGTGATGTAAGTAAGAGAACCCTTACTTTAGCAAAAGTACAGCTAGGGACAAGAATCCAAAGACGTGGAGATATGCTATTCACTCCTGTGAGAATAGACTTCACCATGGAGGATATTCAGTGATGGAACAAAGCAGTTCTGCAACCAAACCCCAAGTTCCTTAGTATCAGCATGCTAAAATTAGTAAATGAGTATAGGCAGATGAGGTTTACTTCCCAGTGTCTGGATTAGTTGTGTGGTGATACCTCTAAACAAGTAAAAGGCTGATGCCAGAAGGCCTTCACCAAAAATCTATACCTTAACCCAACACTGAGGACTTCACTGACTGTCACTTTCCTGCCATCAGGCCCCTTTGCTATCACATGGGGCTTCTCTGCACATATATACATGCAAGAATACTTTATTTTATTCCTTTATCTGTGTTCCCAAATCCTTTGAATGTGTGCCCACTAATTTCTGTATCTACACATAAGAATCCAGGAGGCTCCCTTATTACTTGATGAGCTGTTTCAGTTTTTAATAACCCATTCTGTTTTGGGAGATGGTCCAGCTACTTCTGAACATGCCCCTTTGTCTGTTTTTTAAAGTACACTTAGTTCTAAACTAAACGCTTGTGGCAATGACCTGTCTGAGAAGCATTGAAAATGATCAGCATCAGGTTTCCCTGCCAGAGTGACTGTCAAGACAACACAGTTACCATAAATAGAAGTATATCTGCCCTGTGAGCATTAACTTCAGCTTCTTACAGTCATTCTGATCTCACCAGCTCTAGGAGAGAAAACAGTAAGTCTGGAACTCATTTTTTGTAAAGAGTGTAACTAGTGCTGTCCTTGGAGAGTTGCCTCCTAGGATTATGAAAAATCACGTTTTTGGTAGTTGGGTGGAGAGGAGAGCCTTGCAACTGAGACTTTCTCTCGGTGACATTGCTGTACTGCTTCCTGTGGTACAGCGTGACCTGAGGCCTCAAATGATTCACAATAAACCATTTGTATTGTCCTGTACAGCAGCAAAATTCAAGGTAGTCTAGTGCTGCAAACCGTATCTGCCGACACAGGGAATAAAGTCATAAATATCCTTTATCTCTTTCAGAGCAAGAATTAGTGCAATTAGCTATTGCATTATGAAACATTTGGCAGCCAGAGTATAGATTCACTGGAAAGTGAGACACATTGGGTAGTACTTGCTATAGTTGTTCAGTCAGAACGAGAAGGTTATGAAAAAAACACCTCTAGATCTAATCTGTAGAAATGCATACCCCATGCAATTGTTGGAAATAACCTGGATGTAATATCAGCTCCACTTAGGGCACTAATTCATTGCAGGTGCTAAAACTGTTCTGCATCTATTCTGGTAATCTGCATTTTTGTGCAATTACTTTTCCCTTCTTTGACATTAAACAAATAAACTAGGCTGTTTATAAGCCTTTTTACTTTACATTTTTGATCTATTTATATTCAAGTGTAAATTTTGTCTATGATTATCACCTGCCTCAATCTGTTGATGCTTTTATTTGTGGAGGCTTGTCATGCTTATAATTCCATTGAAATGACTGAGTTGGAATATTCAGTAGTTGGAACACAGAACGCATACGGGCCTTGGGGACACACAATTGGAATATAAAACTTGCTGCTCATTATACCTTGCAAGGCAAAACTGCATGTACTTCACAATTAGTATCTATGGTAATTGCAACACAAAAAAATATAAGCCTTAGCAGAGGTATTATATTGGAAGTCTAGTTATGGGATCACAGAGAACACCTGTTATCATGAATTTTAAATGCTAGGAAACTAATATCACTGTTTGTGTGAAAACTGAATGATAAGCTGTTTTTTCTCTATTTTTGATCTGTTGCAGTCCTATACTTTGATACTACTTGTACTTAATATTTAACTAAAATCTTCATATTGGAATTATTCTGTTATATTATTAGTATATATGCTTCCTGTCCCTGTTCAGATTAGTGGGACCAAAGTGGGGGTAAGAAAAGAAGGTATATTTCAGAAAAGCATAACTGAGTGAAATGTTTAATTTTACTTCTAGTTTCCTTTGCAAACCAACTCCTTGTGATTTCTTATACTGACCTCCCTCCTCCATGCTATTTTTCACCTGTGAGGCTCAGTTAGCCCATCTTCATGCTGTTAAATTGCTCCACTTACACCTTTCAGATTGCTTTTCTTTTAGATTTTTGACCCTGCCATCTGTTTCTTATCTTTTGAGGCTTCAATCTTAATATCTGCATGATGCAGTATTCATGTCCTCACCTCCTTCTAGGTAAGAGGAACCAAAAGCATAACTTGTAGATCAAACATTGGGATGGCTACTACTCCCTACACTTTCTTTGCTAAGCTCCACTCTTCTGTCAATTTCTACTGTTTATTTCTTTCTGCTCATCCTCTGAACTATTTATTTCTGTTGCCATTCATTCTTATTCTTCTTGTGAGGTGTTTCATGTCTCTCTAAATGCCAACAAGAATTCACTGCTTTGCTTCTGTCAGAGATTCAACTGATGTTACTTAAATTTCTGTGGGTACTTCATTATGCCTCATCTTGGTAAAGAGATTTCTGCTACTAACCTCAGTAAGTACTTCTTGCACAAATGTACAAGGATACTAACCAACCAGCTGTTTGCTTCTACTCACTTTGAGTCATTCTTTCTGTAAATTTGCAGCAAGCCTCAAACACAAGCTTCTGCCAGCAGGGAACCTTGGCAGATCTCCTGAAAAAAACCAAGGCAAGGGACTGTATGGATTTTCTAGCTTGCACTTTGTGGCAAAGCAACTTTGAAAGGTTTAGGCTCAAGAAAACCAGTAGCTGATTCCTGATGATCAAGTTTGATTTGTTTCTTATTTGTAGTGAGTGTTCTCCTGTGTTTGATTTATACTACGGCTGATTAAAGGTGTTTTATGTGAAGTGCAGAATATACTCCAGTAGCTGTGCTCTTCCTAGGAATATGTTCCTGATTCAGCAGTGTGTGAACATGGTTTCCCTATTGTCAGCCTGATAATACAGTTTCTGCTAGCAGCAGAAGTGTCTGAAGAGGCAGGAAGTGTTTGTTTTACAAAATTAATTGGAAGTCACTGTGGAAGGTGGCTGCAGAGGAAACTAGAAATGTATTTTCTATATTTGGAATACCCATCTGTTGCCACCCGTGAATATCTGTGAACGAGCAGACATTGATATTTGGAGTCAGCTGTAGGGTCGCATCCCAGAGTATAGATTAGATTTATTTTAAAATGAATTCAGAACTGAGCACCCAAAGCATAGGCTGCTAGTAAGGGGAAGTAGGACCCAATAAATAGGGTGAGAGCTCTTTATCTTCATTCTTCGTGAACAACTTGTGGAGTGCTCCTTGCTAGTAAGGAGTTAACAGCTGACAGAATGGACTCGGGAACATATGTCTAGGTCAAAGAAAGAAGCTGAAAAAGAAGGCAAGTGACTAAAAAGATTGCTTGTATGGCCTGTGAGTAGAGGGTGTTAACGTTTGGTTAAGCGATGAATTATTTTTTAGGACCCTTGTATGCAGGCAAGACTGTTGCTCAGTCAACCAGGTTTTACATGCGGGCTTGCTTTTTGTGGAGAAATTGAGTCTGTTCTGAGAATAGGAGGAATCTAAGAAGGAGGAACGTTAGCCAGCCCTGAAGAAAGATGTGATGATGCAGTAGGTTATCTTGTACATCTGTCTACGTTGTACCTGGCTATAACTGTGCTTAAACCATCATCTTTCAAAGGGAGCCCAAATTCAAGTTCTTACAGAAACAACAGTAAGTTTACAAAAGGAGAACGTGAATGAAAGCAATTGGACTGGGCCAAAGCATATATTTGTACTTTAAAATCACAAATTAATAATGAATGTGCTGATTTGGCAAGCAGAAGACTGGTAGGTATATGTCTTCACACTAGTCTCCAGAGTTTATGAATTGCTTGTTTAAATATTGTGCTGGGTGGAACTGAGTTGGTGCAGCATAGCTGGAGAAGCTGGATAAAGGTGACAGCATTTATGTAAATGTCCTCCAAGCTCCCAAACAGTTCATGGGACTGGGGGTGAGGTGGGGAAATACACAGTTCCTTCAGGGAATGAGATTAAAATCCCGTATGAAGAATCCCCTGACTTCAATGAAATTATTTCAACTTAGTCTCTTTGTGTGAATAGTACAAGTTCAACTACTATTTTTTTAAAGAAAGAGAAAAAAAAAAGAAAAAATAAAAACCCACACCAAAGCCTGTTAACAGGAGCATCTGAAAGTTCCACTGCATGTGCCTGATATCTGTGAATTCATAAATTATTACACTGAAACATCTTCTTACCTATGTTTTTTTTTCTAGGCAGTTATGGTAATAAGACATTCTAGCTATCAAAGTTCACCTCATAAACTAAGCTAGAACAAAAACCCACCTTTCTTCCAGCCTCAGTGCCAGAGACTGATGGCAGATTTCTAGGCCTTTTTTTGTCCTCTGCATCCTTGATTTTTATGAACTTCATGGCTGAGTTACTGTCAGGTTCTAGCTATTTTCTTGTGCTGCCTCAAGGATTCATTGTGTTGTGAATTGCTGCAGCAAACTGGGGTTCCATCACTGTGTCTCTCAGTGTTGTGAACCCACCAAATTAAGTCTGTCCCTCCCTGAACAATTGCTTGTGGGAAATGAGGCTGGGACTTTGTTTTATCCAGTCTTCTAGCTGGCTGCTTTGCTGAATTAATCTTGGGTAGTAGGGTGCTCCCTGTGTGACTATTTATTAGCTCCTGATCTGAGAGCTCCAAAACTTAATCCATCATTTTTTCCCTTAGAATCCCTGTCAGACCTTTGGCTTGTGAAGAACAAAGGCTTTACAACGGCCTCCTGCTGTATTTGCTTCAACATCACGAGGTGCTTTTTGTTGACCTGAACCCTTGTTTCTCACAGAGACAAGCAGATGGCCTTCAGGTAAGAAAGTTAAGTTAATTGGCTCAACAAGTAATGAGAAGTGCTTCATTAGGTTCAAACCTACAAATGGAAATGTATTTGTTTATACATAATGTAATTGATGACTATAGCTTCTTGTCAGCAATGTAAATATCCATCATATACCTAAACTAGAGGGGAAACATGAGTGTTTATAAAATTCTGATTTTGAAAAAAAAATATGCAAAAGTTAAAGGTCAAGAATAAATTCCCAAGTTGCTCCTCTTTAAATATCTTAATGCTGAGCTTTGTTAGATCAAAGCCAAGGGATTTTCTCTAGTGAAGCACTTCTGATTTTGTGTGTGTGTTTGGCTGTACAGTGATGACGCAGGAAAGCAAAACCGGCAGGGTGGAACCCCTCTCACCTTTCCAGAACTCACTGTATATATTTCAGCCTCTCCTTGGGTATATTCTTTTCTAAAACATTGTTTGTACTTCGATTCCTTTTTTGCCTTTTTTGTCAAAAACCTCCTGCTGGAGGAATTCTGATAGACAAATTCTGATTTAGGGGCAGGGTCAACATAAGTCTTGTTTTCAGTTTGTTGTGTGATGTGTCATTGCTGCTTAACTTGAAATTGATTTTTAGAACAAGACATGAAGAAAATGTTGTAGCAAAACCCACAATTTAGTACTGCACCATGCAGTTACCACACATCCTTGCGGTTCATGACTGAATGGATAGCAGTGTGCCAAATCAGGTGAAGGATTTTAAGAGATTTGCATTGTATGTGATTGTAGATCATGCTGCTCATGTTTGTGACTCCTTAATTACCTGGCTTCTTTCTCCAAGCATCTCTGTTATGGAAAAACAGCAAACTTCTTATATGAAGTCAAATTCAGCATTTAGAGCATATGATGTATCCCGAAATGAATATTGAGACTCTAATGCTCCTTGAAACCTCTCTTTTAAAATAAATCCTGTGCAGCCATAGGTACAGAGCACAAAATACACTGATACAAGGATGTTTCTGAAATATTTCTGCTATGTCACAGGACACAGCCCAAAGTCTAAAACTAGGGTTGTTTTGCACAAAGACAGTGTTGGAGCCCACACCTCCAGCAGCCCTTATTCTCGGGAGGTGTCCCATGTCAATACCATCTTTGAGAGTTCCTGCAACATGTACTTAAATGAGTATGCAAGAAGAAAATATTACTTGTTCCATTATATCTGCTTTTGCTTACAAAACCAGAAGAAGCATCAGCCACTAAAGGAAATTGGAATGGTATTAGAGAAGTCAGGAAACCTGGCTTTCTACTGCAGTGCTTTGGTTTTAGAAGCAACTTCCCTCCCTGTAATTCTGCAAAATGTCACAGACTGTCTGGGATTGTGGTGATGTGGGAAAGAATTCTGCTGAAAAGATCCTTTCAAGTTCTTTAATAAAACCTCAGACAAGGCATAGCCATGAGGCACTCTCCTGCTCTGAGGTAAGCTTATGAAAGAATTCTCATCCGTGGGTGAGAAGGGAATTCGGTATTCTGTGGCTGATCTTGTTTTCGTAATTTCTGGCAGGAAACCCAGCACATTGGATAGGTACCCTTCATCTTTCATAATATAACAATTGCTCAAAGTCCACTAAACTGGAAACATCAAAGTTAGGTTTACAAACTAAACACATTAGAAGTGCCTGTTCTAGTTCCAGCAAAGCAAGCAAAAAAGTGAAATGGCATACCTGGCTCAGATCCCTTGTTTCTTCCTGGAAACGAAACTTGCTTTTATTGGCTGTTTCTCATGAAATAACTTAAAGAAGTTTCACAGATACTTGCATTTGGACTACTTAATTCCTGTGATTTTTTTATTGTTGAGGTGCCTTTTTTTTTCCCATTTCAACATTGTATGCTACCCTAATTAACAAGTTAAATCCATACCAATCTGGTAGACATGCCATACAACTGATATAAGCTTAGACTTCAGTTGCATCTTTGTTAGCCTGAGATGGACAAGACCAATTGTTTCTGAGCAGAGCTCTTAGTATTTTGAAGTGCCAGAGTCATCCCACGTACTCTACCTCTGCAGGCTGATTCAGGCTGACAGACTGGAAGAAAAATTTGCAAGTTTTTGAAAGGTCTCAGTCTAATAGTTTGGAACTATTAACATGGCTGGATTGTAGACTACTCACAGCCACTTATTCCATCTAAAGAGAGTGGGTTAAAAGATATATCTAAGCTACTGTGTATTTTAGTTTGTCCTTTTTCCTGGCCACTGTATGTTTTACGTTTATTTATTTTCTTGGAATAGAGTTGGAATGCTGTAAAATCCTGCCAGAGTTTCTTAAAGTTGTCCTCAAACCTTCTGTCCTAGCTCACAAAGTGCACTGGTACTAAATTGATTTTCCTGTTTGGCTTAAACCCTTCTTTAAAAAGAGTTTAGACAACACTTTGATGTTTGTTGTGACCTGAGGCTTCTCTAGGTAACTGTGTTTAACCTGAAATGTATCACTAGCTGTGCTGGAGGTGTACAAGTTTAGCTTAACTTTTATATTGTAATTAAATTATGGACCAAACCTTGCTAACAGCAATTTGTCATGCTGTCTGCCCTCATCACTTGTAAATCTTTTGTTCTAACAGAAGTTGACTATGGAATATATTTTTTTTGCATCTAATCCAAAAGTGGTTTTTTGTATCTCCTTTTTGTACAGAAGTCATAGCTAAATCCATCCTGAATTTTGCACCCTACCTTTGTCTTGCAAACAAATAGAAGCCTGACTTTGTGGGTGCATGCAAGCCACTGCATGTCTCTCCATCAAAGCAAGGGATTAATTAGAAGAAAAGCCTACACCCTGTTTTCTTTTCTTCCCTTGTCCTTTTATGTATGCTTCACTATAAGGCTGCAGGGACTGCCTATTGATTGGATCCTATGTAGCTAGTCCCTACAGTTGTGGAGCCCCACTCTAAAGGGATTGCAGAGATCCAGAGGGCTGGGGAGGTGGAGCTGGATGCTCTCCTGGACTTGCAGGTTGACCGCAGACACCTCAGACTGAATTTCTGAAACTGCAGTGTGGTTTGGAGTTGGTCAGAACAATGCAACTGAATATTTCATGGATACTTTATCTACTCAAATTATGGTTTTGCTGGGAAGGCTTTTGTGGTATGGAGAGTTCACCAATCTCAGATTTTTAGTCTTTTTCAAAGAGGAGATGGATGTTTCGGCATTAACTCTGTTTTGTGAAAAAAGTGTACTTCACTCTCATCTGAAGTTGCCACAAAAAATAAATTGCTGTTTCCCGAATGGACTGTCCTCAATCTGGAGGACAGTAATAATTTAACTGATGTTGCTCTTTGCTAATCCCATGACAATGCTTGTGGAATTAATTGAAACCATTCAGAATGAACAAACAAACAGACATTATCTCATGGTCTCGTATACTGAAATTTCCAGGTTAGACTAAATTGTCTTGTCAAAATAATCTTTCATGGGCAGGGGCACATAATTCCAATTCCTTTTTGTGGTTTTAAACAATTTTTCCTAAACTTAAACTGGTAGAGGTCTTGATTATTTTGTTTCATTTGAGTTCTTTGCTTAGAAAGATTACTTTTACTTGGGTTTAAATGTAAACATAATAAATCCTGTGTGTATCATGTGAACTGCCCAGAAATTTGTCAGTGTTTCTGTAGGGTTTGCTGTTACATTATAGAAAGATTTCTTCATAGTATTTCCCATTCCTCTGAAGAAATATTTTCCCTAACACTTGTAAATTTTGCAAAAGCACGGACTCATTAAACATTAAGTTTTCATTGTGTATTTGAGTACTGCCCAAACCAGAAGACTGGATAAAAAATGCCATACATTGAGGAACAAGCAGGACCTGGGTCTCTACAAAAATTGTGGCCAATAGATTGTAAGGCTGTATAGTTAATTTATTTTTTTTTCTTCTGGATAAACAGTGCAGAATATTTTACTGACCGTAGGCATAAGGATTTGATAAAACCTTCTGTAGCCTAGGCAAGTGTGACTTAACCAAATTGGATGTGGCTGGAGTACTCATTACTCCTTCTCGGTCTTCAGTGCTGGAGCCTTTCTGCCTGTCAGTGGAAGGAACAGGGCACAGAGAGCGTGAGGTGCTATTTCTGTGCCGTGTCTGTGATCTGCAGCAGACTGTCCTTTGTACTGGAGATCTGTAACTTGGAAACGACAAGCACGCCTGGTCTCTGCTTTTAGTGAACCGTGGGGTGTGCAGGGAATGTCACTGAGTTAATGTTTGCTCCAGCAAAACTGAGGGTTTCTCTTGACTTGCTGTACAAGTGCTCTGGGACACTGCTGTCACACTTTAACCCCTGGATTTTACCACTGTCCACTCTTCTCCCTTCCCTCCCATTTCCCCACGACCCCCTCCAGTATGTAGATTTTTGTAATTTAAATTTTTTTTCTGGGAAAACCTGCACATGGTCAGCTGTGCTTTACTGTCAGAAGAGGGAAGATGGTCAAACTGAAATCCTGAGATTCTTTAATGTAATTGATAATACAAGAACAGAGCTCAAGGTATCACACTAGCAGATTACATTGCCCACTGTCTGTCATTCAATCATGATATAAATTGTATGAGAGGGAAAGATATTTCTAAAACTGGTCACTGATACAGGCCCTTCCTGGCTTGGAAAATCTGTTTCAAAGGCAGTATGCTGTGCAGAAACCAACTCAGTGGAGACTTGTCTTTGTTACTTCTTAGTCTGTGGATGCCCATTTTCAGTTTTGCTGTGAACAGAGCATCTCAAAAGTTCCTACTGTAGTCAGGCTCACTGAACCTATGTAGATTACATATTAAGGAGTTTTATCTGCAATTTGTGAAAGAGAGTAATACCTGATAAGTTCAGAGGGGCAGCTGGTTGTTTTGCTTAGCTGTTTTTGATCAGCTACACTACAAAGAAAAGGATTATAATTAATCAGGTAGTGTGCAATTAGGGTAACACAGATTTCTGCTTTCAGAGGATCTGTGTGGTCGTCTTCTGGTATTTAAAACACCTAAACTTAAGACTGGTGGCTCTGA